TATCACCGGCCTATCACCCTGCATCAAACGGCTTAGCCGAACGAGCAGTGCAAACTGTCAAGGAAGCCTTCCTCAAACAAATGCTCCATGATACCAAGCATAACACGACCCGCTCTCTACAACACCGAATTGATTAATTTTTGTTTACTTACCGTACCGGAACACCCCTCACTCTACCACAGGCATATCACCATCTGAAGCAATATACAAATTCAAGCCTAGGACTCATCTTAGCCTCTTGAAGCCACACTCATTGCCTCAACGAATGCAAGATGAACAAGAAATCCTAGTAAAAGAGGCCAACAAGTACAGAGGCCAAGCTCATTCCTTTGAAGTAGGAGCAGCAGTGTATGTTTGTACTGTACGTAACGAGAAAGTAAATTGGCAGCCAGGTATCATTACTAAGGTTATAAGTCCGGTAACCTACTTAGTTAAAGTAGAGGGCCGCATTCGGTTTGTTCATGCAGACCACTTGAGGAGTAACCCATCAGGCCAAGATGACGATGACGACATTGTGATCCAATTTCCCAGGGAATTATATGAAAAAGCTCAAAAGGTCGTAACACCTCAAACGACACCTGAGAAAACCTCTGACCATGATAGTTCTCCTACCATTTCAAGACCAATTTCATCACAGAGACTTGTTAGTCCAAGACAATCACCACAACAGAGGAACAATAGTAATATTATGGAAAAGGTAGAAGAGCCTTAGTTTAGTTTCCTACGATTATCAGGAAACAGACATTCTAAGAACAATAGCATAATGGGCTATAGGGACTAAAATGAACTTTGTACCTGTCCGCCCTATAACCCATCAGAGGATGAAGCCAAGCGATAAGAGGCAGTCTCAGTCATGATCCAGGTACGTGAAGACCTATGCTAATGTTCTCAGTATATTTAACTAGCTGTAACCCGCGGGCTTTGCCCCGTTTAACTTCTTAATTTTCAAGATTATCTCGTTCGCATGGCTCAATCACGTCCTGGTTGAAGTTTGTTCGCTACGCTCACTCACCTTTAGGTTGGAGCTCGTTCGCTAAGCTCACTCACCTTTAGGTTGGAGCTCGTTCGCTGCGCTCACTTGCCTTCAGGTTAGCTCGTTCGCTACGCTAACTCGCCTCCAGGTTGAAGTTCGTTCGCTACGCTCACTCACCTTTTGGTTGCAAATTAGCTGTTGTCATAAATGTAAAAGAAATAATAGTGCTCCACCCTGTTGGTAATCCTTGTAACTTTAATGCTATTCAACATCATAGAACAGAACCAACTCGTTTAATTGAAAAAGCTGTTAAGATTCAATAATTCCATTTCTCATAAGGTTAACATGGGAAACTCCAGAGCCACTGGGGCGGAGCCCGAAAGGATTTTTGAAATAAGAATACGCCTATATGTTAATCGGGAATGTGAGCTATCATCATGCCAAATTTCAGCCCAATCCGACAAGTATTTTTCGCGTTCACTTGTCACAAACATACATCCATACATCCAAACTTTCTCATTTATAATATTAGTAGGACAAACATACATCCATACATCCAAACTTTCTCATTTATAATATTAGTAGGATATTTGTGCATTTGCCATAAGCAGAGTTTTACCTTAAACATATGTTCATTCCGGGTATAATAGTAAATAAGCAAAAAAAAGACGGTGGTAAGTGATGATCGAATTTGATTGGACACTCCAATCATCACTAGACCTGAGAGATGAATGTCAAGAATCTTGATTGCTTCCCTACTTATGTCCTACAGGCAACTGGAAGTCAGGGCCGATTTACCGAATAGGCATGGTAGGCACTTGCCTAGGCAATAATTGGCTTTTTTGGGGGGCGCCAAAAAATTGGAAAATAAAAAAAATTGATGGTTGTATTTGCATGATCGCGATTAACTTCTGATAATTCCTACCGGCCGTGTAGACATCGTAACTGTCTCCCGCGTTTGAGGCAAAATTCTGACTATTTTCCACGGTTGTGTAGACATAACTATTACCTTCCATAATCGCAGCAATATATGAACATATCCCGCGGTTGTGAGGAGATTATCATCGTCTACCACAAATGAGGCAAAATTATGATCACCCCTCGCGGCCATGAAGACATCATTAATCGTCCCCCGTGGTCGTTTGTACATAGTAATCGCCTCCCGCGATTGCGGCAAAATAATAATCATTTCCTGCCATCTTGTGGAGATCATCATCGTGTTCCGCAAATGAGACAAAATTCAGATCTTTTCCTGCGGTCGCATGGACATTATGATCGTCTTGCGCTATCGAGATAAAATACTGATCACCCCTAGTGACCTTGAAGACATAATTATATCGTACCCTGAGGTCACTTGTACATAGTCATTGCCTCCCGCTATTGCGGCAAAATGGTAATCATCTCCCACTCCCTCAGCCATGTATTGTATAGATCATCGTCTTCCGCAAATGAGACAAAATTTGGATCTTTTTCCACGGTCATGTGGACATTATCATCGTCTTGCGCGATCGCGGCATAATTCTGATCATCCCTCACGGACGTGTAGAAATTATTACTGTATCTCCCGCGGTCCTGTAGATATCGTAATCCTCTCTAACGGTTGCGAAGACATCGTAATTATTGTTTCAAAATTATATCAAATTATTGCGGCAAAATATTAATTACATTCCGCAGTTGTGTGGCGATCATCATCGTCTTCCGGAATCGCGGCAAAATTCTTGCTGTTTCAGTTTTTGTTGTTCGTGTGGACATTATCATCGTCTTACGTGATCGCGGCAATATTCGGATCATCCCTCGCACCCGTGTGTAGACATATTGTCGTCTACCGGGGTCACGGAAACGTCACTGTTGTCATTGCGATCGCTAGGTGGATATACAAAATTCACGCATAATTGCCGGTTAAAAAAAACTCAAGCATAATTCCCGGATTTCTATGTATACAGAATGTTGTGAGATAATCTGTGTAAATGGTGTGAATTGATCTGTGTAGCTTTATTACTGACCAAGATCAGCTGTTTTATCAGCCAGGGTAATTTATTTAAAGCCAAATGATCACTACTAATCAAATGGAATCGGTTTAAAGTCGGGTGTTTTCCATAGAAAGGATTCAGCTGCGACTATCTAGAGTCACAATAATGTCTTATATTCCTTTTTACATTTATAAATGTTTTCATTTCTTTGACCGTTACATTTGTCCATTTTCTAAATCTCGAGTTTGGGCTCAAGGTGTCACGATTTTTTTGGAAAAAACTGTCAACATATGCATTTGTTTTTGTCTAGTAATAAGCTGCCAAAATTATAGGTAGTTAGAAACAATAGCAAATAGGCTAGAGAGGCACTATTTCTTGGTGAAATGTCTTTACAGGTTGAATTTGTCTAGCCCTAAACTCAGGGCTTATGTCCGTCGGTTCCTCTGGGGGATAAACCTTAACCCTCGGTTCTACTGTAGGAGCAAGAACAATAGGAGTTAGTGTAGAATTACCTGCTACATCTAATTGTATATTTCTGTTTAATTCTTTCCTCTCAGATGTTTTAATTCACTAGAATTTGGTTGGACTGTAACCGTTATCACTACCACTTGAGAAGCCTGTTGCCGAGCTTTTAGAGTCAGATTCATACGGTGGAATGTCAAATTCAAAGTCACTTACGGGATCATCAGCATCTTCTACCACTTCAGATTCATCACTAACATCATCATCAAGATAACGTCTAATGTCACTGCAATTCATTTTACAATATTACACTACGCAAACGCTAATACACAACTAAGTGAACGCGGTGACTCACTAGCAGAAGCAGACACATCTTTCGTTGTTTACATTACATAGAACATGCAGTAAGCATCGAGAGACAGGCATTGGCAGAAAGATCGTAGTCTGCCGATTACAGATATCTCCCTGTGAATTAGAGAAGACTATTAACGAATAACATATGTGAACCCGTTCTTTACCATTTCCATAGTTCATTCCTTTGTTTACTCACTCACCATTGATTTAAGAAACATAGTAACATAGTTACAGACATTTCTTTAATTTTAGAAATAAGAGTTTACTGTGAACACTTAGTTGAATGTATATTCTTCTTGGTTTAAATAAAGTAGCAGGGTAGCTAAAAACAACCACTAAATTTATCAGAATGTCAAAAAATCTATGTTGAGGGAGAGTTCACTTATTTTAAGTAAGGCCTAATGACACAACTCTGTTGTATGAACATGTAAGTGAATAATTATTACTGTAAGTACCGGTACCTGTGAAAAAAGTAAACGATATAACCAAACCCAGCTCAGTACAACCCAATTGAATAATTAACTAACTATAGTAAGTATTAGAAAATCTATTATAAAAATCAAAGGGTAGACTTCCCTATCTGTTGTCAAAAACGACCGAATGAAAATATCAATCGACATATATCGATTATTTCATTTGATATATCGGGGTACAGTTTCTTAACTGGGCTACGCTAATATTGATTGAAACTATCAAGTTGAAAATATTGATTAATAATCGATATTTTTAAATATATCTGTCATAAAATAAAACTAACCTAACCTAACCAACCAAACTTGCTGATGGTGAAAAAATCGCATGAAGGTTTACTAATCGAATCGATAGTTTCAATCGATATTAACGTAGCCCAGTTAAGAAACTGTACCCATCGTTTGGTTAGTTAGGATGAAATAATCAATATATCGAATAATTTTTCATTTGGTTGTTTTTGACAACAGATACAAAGTGTACCTAAATCAAACTAACTGGTATTTTAGTCTTTTATCGAAATTATTTTGCTTTATTTCATAACAAAATGTAATAATAATTGTGTAGATAGATGTAGCTTTATAAGTCAGGCTAACAAAACATTGGCGGCCTATTTCTAAACTTGCGAGATTGACAACTGTTTAGGTTACCTATGCCCTACCATAAATGGTACTTAGGCCAGATGAATTTGATGCAAAGTCTGTGAATCCAAATAAAAATTGTGTGATTGAGTAAAATTAAAAATTAAATCATGTTAATTTTAAATTTATAACCTGCTCAGTCCTTGATACAAAACAATAATAGTAACAGATAAGCGACAAAGACACCGACAACACTGAAATGAACTCTCGACTCCGACTGGACTGACACATTTGTTCACAAATTTTATAGCCAAGGGGAGAAGGCACTGAGCTATGTGGGAGAAGGGCAATTTCAGATGGTCATAGATTATTAGAAGTGCTGGTTAATATAATAAATGCATCACTTGATGAAGGCACAATGCCGACTCTGCTAAAAACTGCTATTATAAGACCTGTTTATAAATCAGGTTGCCACAATTCATACCAGAACTATCGCCCAATATCAATTCTGTCTTCAATAGATAAAATAATGGAAAGGTACATTGCACACCATTTAAATAAATACTTAGCAGAAAATGATGTTATAAATAAAAGTCAGTATGGTTTCCAGAAAAACAAAAGTACAGAGCTATTGCTAAAAGATTTTTCTAACAATATTAACAAAGAATTAGGGTAGAGCAATCAAGTACCGGTAATAGTAACTTTTATAGACTTAACAGCTTTTGATACACTGCAGTTCGATAAAAAAAATGACAGCACTCAAGGACATAGGAATTTCTGGCAGGTTTTTAGAATGGTTTAGAGACTATCTGAAAAACAGAAAAATTATTGTAAAAAGTGCATAGTACATTTAGTGAAGAGGCAGAACTTTTTTCTGGGGTAACTCAAGGAAGTACCTATTTTGGACCCAATCTTATATATAATATATGCACATACACCCCCTCCAAAATATATACCAAAAGAAGCCACGGTTTTTATGTACGCTGGTGACACTGCAATTGTCGTATCAAACAAAAATATAATAGAGGCAGAAAAAAATATGCAGAATGCTGTTAACAACCTTTTAGAATGGTGTCATGACTATGGATTGATAATAAATTACAAAAAGTCCAAGGTCATGCATGTGCATTCACCTGCATTACTACTGCATATAAATGTTCTAATGTAAGCATTACTTACCATAATTTTGATTGTTTACATAATCATACTTATTTAATTATCCCAAAAAGTTGTCAATGTAAGAGTTTAGAGAATGTGCACGGTTTTAAATATTTAGGGGTTCATGTTGACCACAATTTTAAATGGGATATACATGTTAATTATGTTTGTAAAAAAACAGGGCATGTGTTTGCAAAATTTTTTATTTAAAAAGTGTCCTGCCATTTAATGTTCTATTGGTGATTTACCAGTCACTGTGGGAATCAATTTTAAGATATGGTGGAGAGCATGGGGCAATGCTTCAGACTTGTCTGAGGAAAATTGAGCATCTGCAGGAGCAAGCACTCAAATGTATTGTTCTAGTGCACATTAAGCAGTTACCAATAATAAAGATTTTTCATTTTGTTAGACTGCTACCTGTTAGTAAGTTGTATGTTTTTTTTTTATATCCACTGATCATTTATTTGATGACAGCTTGAAAATTGTCAATAATCACCCATATGATGTTAGAAGGAATTATTATTTTGTACAAAGCACAGGAATAAGTATGGAAGTAGAACACTTGAAGTTTTTGTTCCCAAATGTTTTAATAACCTCACAGCTATAACGGTTATAGCATGTTTAAAAATTATTTAAAGGAACTTGTTTAGAATGATTTGTTACAAATTTAATTTATTACAATAATATGCATTTAATTTATTTACATTTTTAGTTGAAGTTTAAGTACTATATTATTGTTATTTATTCTAATAGTTTATTTATTATTGTTACTGTTGAATTTTTACAGATATTTGTGTCTTTGTTGTCTTTTTTTTTGTTATTATTCACTCAAGAGACAATCAATCAAGGACTCATAAAACTGCATGCTATTGATTCAAACTGACAAAAAAACTGTATGGTAAATAAGAAACAATATTTTTAGTGCAGACAAACCATTTGTGGTTTTTGCACTTTTGTAACCTATGTATTGGTAAATTTATTGTGTAAATAAATTTCTTGATTGATTGGTTAATGGAGGAATACACTATTTAATATGTTATATGATCATTGACTTTAAATGGTAAAGTTGGATTTATTTTCTGATCCTATTTCAAAATAATGAAGCTCGTATTACAACAAGCTTCATTATGCTTCACATTTGTGACATCAAGCGCTAGCGTCCACTACCTACATGTTATTTTCTCTTATTTTAGGGTAGATTTTTTTTCTTTACTCTTTAGGTATGTATTTCATTACAACTAAATAGTTGTACAGTATTTGTTCAAAATAGTTTTAAAATACGTCAAAGTATAATAAGGAAAAATTAACTGCAAACCGCTTTCTACATGAACCGGAGATACGATTTATCAATTGTTAAGACAATGTTATTTCCATTCGATAATAATGATATTTTTTTAATCGATAAGTAGCCTGAATAAGAAACTGCACCCATTATCTGTGGTGGTATGATTCACTTTCTCTATAGCAACATTGTTTTTATAACTATGCGCCTCCTCTTCAATATGTATTAATACCTAACATGACAAAAAAATAACGTTCCAACTGAAAGGTAACTAAAGTGTAAGTCAAGGTGCCGGAAAACCAATAAGCAAATTAAAGAACGGGAGTTTGGCATGGTTTGGTGTCCTGTGTTACTAAAAATAAATGGTATCAGCAATCCGACAGATACTTTCTCCAATTAGCTTGTCAAAAACCTTTATCATGGTAAGCAATGAGAGTAACTATGATATTTAACAGGTAAAATCACAAACGTTTCATTAACTTTTGTACTGTAATTTTTACAGGAATGGGGGGGGGTTGCATTATTTTTTAAGGATTATAAGGACCATAACAGACAAATTTCAATCAGAAAAGCTTTTTTTGTTCAAAAATCCATTTTTCAAAATTTGTTGTGGGCTTTATAGGAAAACTAGCTGTATCCGTGCTTCGCAACGGAGATGACACTGAAGCGAAAACTACGATCTTTAAGCCTGTTGTATAAATTAGTTACACATTCCCTTTTGGTTAAAGGAACATAGCTCAATTGAAACTCTTAGTTTGAAAAATATCTTTCTTTAAGGGCCGGCGCGCACTATCCCGACCACGACCACGACCACGACTCCGACTGGTCGGACACGACCAGTTTTATAATAGGAATAAATGGAACAGCGCGCACTGGTCGACTGGTCGGACCCTGGTCGGGCCCTGGTCGCACGACCAAAATTTTTCAGTTTGGTCGGGCCCGACCCGCTGGTCGTTGCAGCCAAAAATAGCACACAATGTAATGGGACGACGCGCACTACCCCCGACTTGCCTCCGACCCGACCAGTACACCACTCAACCCCCAGTATTCCTTGACCAATCAAACGGTGAGCACTAGTTTTTTGCGCCGGTCTGCGAAGTGACCCATTAGGTAAAATGTTGCAGGATTTTGACACTTTTGAAACCTGTCTTCATATTGACGTAGATCTTCATAAAATGTTGTAAAATGCCCTTTCAGACCTGACAGTTAACATTGGATATACCCAGTATAGTTTCTTCTTCCGCTTAACGTACTTACAATACAAATGCACCATAACAACTACTTCTTCAACAATCATCTTGACACTGAAGTTTGTAAATCATTCGTTGCCTTGGTCGGGTCGTGGTCGGGTCGTGCTCTGGTCGCATGGTGAATGACAACCACTGGTCGGGCGTTTGGTCGTGGTCGTGGTCGTGGTCGGGATAGTGCGCGCCCGGCCTAAGGCTAGGCTAACTTATAAGGCTATCTAGGTTGTGTTACATAATTCGATGTATTTAGTACTAATGATATGATGCGCTGATGCATGTATGGAAATAATGTCCCCTCACGATTAAATTTTCAAATAATAAGCTTACTTAAACATTTATTTCGTTTAAAAACGTACATGTAAAGAAGGAAAAATAATCGCATTAACATAGTCACTGTAGTAAAGCAAAGAACCGTTTGTATTGATTTTACATACAGGGTGAGTTTTAATTGTCCCCCCCCCAACTTTTTTCTACATTTTTTCAAATATCAATCCCAGACCACTTCCAAACATTTTTGGGTAGTAAGTACTTCATTTTGACAAGGTGGTCATTTCCGGCCGCCATCTTGGATCCGCCATATTGGATGCAAAATATTTTTTTCAAATGTAAAGGTGGGGTTGTGACCCATTATTTCGAATTAGATTTTTACCCTGATTACAATGCCGCAAACCGTTTTTAAAAATCTTGATTCATTCTAAAGTTATAAGGCCTTTTTAAAACTTTATTTTTAGCCCATTTTAACATTGTGCTTTTTAAACTAAGACCATAATCTCAAAATAGTGCTAGATAAAGATAAGTATACACTACCAGTCATTGCCAACCTATTTCCACTTGGTTATGAATGATGTATTTTTTTCGGCCGCCATCTTGGATCCGCCATTTTGAAATGTGATAAATTATTTTAAATATAAAAGGGGTGTTGTGACCCATCATTTCGGATTACTTTTTTAAGCTGAACTCAATGCCGCAATCCATTTTTTGTTATCAAGTTTTATTTATGAAACATTACAATATTTTTGTTAAAAATGTTAATATTTCGAAATCAAAATATGAAAATGAAAAATAGACCATGGAATTGAGTTCAGCTTAAAAAGTTAATCCGAAATACATCATTCATAACCAAGTGGAAATAGGTTGGCAATGACTGGTAGTGTATATTTATCTTTATCTAGCACTATTTTGAGATTATGGTCTTAGTTTGTACAAGCACAATGTAAAAATGGGCTAAAAATAAAGTTTTAAAAAGACCTCATAACTTGAGAATGAATCAAGATTTTTAAAAACGGTTTGCGGCATTGTAATCAGGGTAAAAGTCTAGTTCGTAATAATGGGTCACAACCCCACCTTTACATTTGAAAAAAATATTTTTCATCCAATATGGCGGATCCAAGATGGCGGCCGGAAATTACCACCTTGTCAAAATGAAGTACTTACTACCCAAAAATGTTTGGAAGTGGTCTGGGATTGATATTTGAAAAAATGTAGAAAAAAGTTGGGGGGGGACAATTAAAACTCACCCTGTATAATTTATCTGTTTTACCGTATACTACTGATATTTTGTGAAAGTTCAATCTTTACATGCAGA